AATTCGACAGAGCACATTTAAAATTCATTGTAAACTGGTTTGAGATCATTAATATAAAAATAATTTTATACATACACTTGTGTTCAGCTGATTAAGTCATCAACATTTTGATCGATTTTGGCTGTTTCTCTTTCGTTTATTTAATATATACTAATTTTCCTTAAAAGCCAAGCTCTTTAACAAACAAAATATAAATCCACAAAAACTGTGTAAAAATTATAAAAAATCTGCAAATTTTCAGCGAGATTTTCAACTTTTTATTCGGATTTTTTAGATTTTTTTTTTTGAGTATGAAGTTTGATAGCCCATTAATATTTGTTTCTTGTAGACATTTCGGTTGTCGAAAATGCTAAATTACGTTCTGCTAGGAAGGAGCATAGCAATATTTCAGTATTTTTTGCGTTCATTACATTACATTTACAATGTAGTCTTAAAAAAGTCGCCTACTTTTTTCTGACGTTTTATGCTGCACAGTTATTTTGATGCTTTTGCGAACGTGCGTGTTGCAATAGATCGGCTCTTCCTGATTCGGCTTTTAATGTGCAATTGCACACATTACAGCAAGCCTCGTAACCTCAAGTGTTTATACAACCAGCCTTTGAACACGGGATCCTTAGTCCAAGAATCCAAAAACAAAATCTTTTGAAGCAGCTGCAGCAAAACACAAAGATTGTAAAGATTTATTAAGAAAATAATTCAAAATCAGTTCCTCTTGCAAGATTTAGTAACAAAGAAAAATTACTGGGAAGTTAAAAAACGTCATTTTTTACACAAAAAACGTCCAAACGTCAACAGGATTCCAAAGACGCTGGGGGGTCTTCATTAGAGCAACAGAATCCAAATCAACTTTTTTATTCGAATTTTTGATTGTCTCCCTGTCTGTCTGTCTGTATATTTGCAAGCGCATCACTCGAAAACTAATGCATGGAATCGAATGCAGTTTTCACCGGTGCGTTACTAAAGGCCAAACTTAAGATGTAGGAAAAAAATATTGAGAGTTGCCACCTGTTTGAAAGTTGGAATTTAAGTAAATTGATAAGATAAAGTAAATATTGCAATATGGCTGTCAAAAGAAATTAAAAGAGACTTACAGTCGAACATGTTTTTGTGAAAGGTCGCCACCTGCTTGAAAATTTTAATTTGATTTAATTGATAATCTCAATTAAATATTGCAATATAGGTATCAAACTAAATGGGATTTAGAAATTTTTACCGCCAAAAATATTTTTGAGGAGGCTTGCCACCTGTTTAAAAAATTCTATACACCTTTGAAGAAAGTGTACGATATGTAGAATCGAGTTGTAAGAGTATGTATAAATTAAATTTCCAGAATTAAATACATTCGAAAATATATTAACTAACACCCTTATTCATAAAAAATAAAGTATGTTTCATATATCGAAAATATATTAGAAAATCTCACTTCATAAACATCTTCAAATCTATTTTATTTTTTATGAATGAGGCCATTTAAGCAATTTAAGGCGTAGCTAAGGACGCCGGGTATTTGCTACCAGATATATAATAAGAATATAAACTACACAAGACAAAGAGAACGCCGTTGCTCATATTTAACATGCAGATGTGCTCGAAATTTTAGCGAAAAAAAAAATTATTAAAAATCAACCCGAACTGTTAGCTACTTGCAACTTGCACTTTATTATACTAAAATTGAATTATCTGTAAAACTGCAGACCCAAAGTTCTTTTAAAATTCAAAAGAAAAAAATTTAATATTGTTGGAATTTTTTTTTTATAAAATTTCAAATTTTTCTTGTGAAATATTTTTCGTTT